GGATGCGGGCAGACGCGCGGTGCTGCCCGGCAGCTGGCGGGTCAGAGGTGTCGGTTCTTACCCTGTCCCTGGCGTTCAGATCTGCTTCGCAGGCAATGAGGTGCTCCCCGCAGTCGTACCGCCCTGTTCGCACAGCCACGTGCAACGGGGTGCTGAGCAGCTGAAGGGGCAGGGAAAGAAGAGCTCAGTGGCATGGAACAGGTAAAAACTGCTTCAAAAACTGCTGCCTAAAATTATCGACTAGGAATAAGGGTCAGCTTTTCGTCTCCATTTGAAAAAACTGCAGAGTTCCAGAAGCACGTACCTTGTCTCTTGCATTTATGTTTATCCCTTTGTCCAGTAAGAATTTCAGAACGTCCAGGTTCCCTCCCCGACATGCCCAGTGCAGAGCAGTAGAATGAAGCTTCAATAGGAGAAAGAAATAAAAAGTATTTTAGTGCATCATTATAGTAAGAAAACCCTTTTATCAAATTTCTAAATTAATCCAAAATAATTTTTATGCAGTTTAACCTAGAGCACTTCACTATGATCGCTGAGTTGTTTCTAGCTTTTATTTTGCCCTAATTTCTACAGTACTGTGAATTTCTYAGTTTTCACACTCACTGCATATTACTCCTAAAGACAGAGAACTTGGCAACGCTGCTGTGAGAGAGGATGTGTTTTGTCTCTTCTGTAAGATATGTTAACTTTATCCAGGTATGGGGCTGGCATTTGCTAGTTAATATTTTTCATTCAATATGTTTCTAAAATGCATAGAAAATGAAGCTCAAGGGGAAGAACAGTTCTCCTTAAAAAGTAAACAAACTAATCTCCAAGCTATGCAAGTCCACAAAGTTAATTAAAATCTTTTCTCTCTTCAAGATTCAGTATCTCTGCCCTGAGCTGGCTGGAGAGTGGAGGGATGTTCCTTGATGGTCCCGCTCTGCCTGTTGTTCCTCCTGTTTCTCACACCCTCCCATGAGCAAGGCTGGCCAGCGCCAACTGCTCAGCAAAGGGACAAAGAGCAGAGCAAAGGGACCAAGAGAGAAGAAAAGTAACAGCTGCAGAAAGCTGTTGATATTCAGGAACTCTTGTGGCTGGCATTCCAGAGGAGCAGGGGGCTCTCCTGAACACAGCCTTGAAATCCTGGTGGAGAATGTGCTGCCCCTGCATCCACACATGGGACAGCACCATGTCCAGCACCTGCCAGCAGGCTGAAGTGGGAGCCTGACCTCAGCTCTCTTATCCTCCCTTAGGCTTTCTTGTTTGTGGCACTCAGCTGGCCAGCACTTSTGTGTTTTCCAGCAAACATTTTGGCACGGGGAGGCAGACACTCCCTCCTGAAATCTCTTCKCAACAATGTTATTTTAAGGATAAACTTAAAAGACATTTTAAGGCCTTTTAATACTCCTCTATAAGAAGCATTTCTATAAATGCTCATCCTGGCACATACAAAACAATGAACAGCTTTTGGAAAGAGGTGTGAGTGGATGTGCATACCATGTCTTTCTGTTCTAGCTGGGCTCCAGCTTCCACCAACTTTTTCACCACCTCTAGATGTCCTTCAGAGCATGCCCTGTGCAGTGCAGTGCGTTTGTACTGGCAATTGAAACAAACCAAAGTCAGACATTWCACATGGCACAAATATATCTTTAAATCTCTTCTCCCCTCCTCCCTAGGATGATGGCAAATACATACTCCATGCTGATTGCTTTTGAGCTAATATTTTTGAGACCTGAAATCTACTCAATTTCAATAGCAACCTGATAGCTGAGAGCTGCYCACCCAGCATTTTAAAGGATGGGAGAAGTGTCTGCAGTATGGCATCTGGATTTGAAATGATGCCTGTTGAGTTCCCCATCCAACATACTATGATATGTTTTGCAAATGTGGTTTATGCATTATGGAGTATAAAGGCAGACACTTATTTCTGTTGTTCTGCAGACAAATTTCTTATCTCTTTTTCTGTAGCATTGGGAGATCACYTGTTATGGAAAATCAGGTTTTTCTGGGCACCAACATCTTTGTTTTAAATATAAAGACACCTCTTAGGTAATATGAYTTTGAAGGTTCTCAGTGGCCACTAGAAAACTTGATGTACAAAACTTCTAGCATTTATTTACTTCCCCCTGACCCTTTTTTTTCTCTCTCGTAAGGGTGGAATCTACAAAACCTCAAGATAAAAGTTATTTTTGCTCTCTTCTATAGCAGGCTTTGCATTAGGGARAAGACTGTACCTTATCACAGACATTTGGATCCCCTTTGTCTGAGAGGTATTTTTCAATTACTGGCAACTTATTCTCCAGTGCAGCTTTGAAGAATGTGGGAATATCCACAGGTCCTGTCTGATGGAAAGAATATAGAGAGCATAACTGTGTGTGGCATAAACCCTCATTAACTCTTTCCCAGAATAAGGTACTTTGAAGTAACTTACAATGACTTCTGGTTCAGGTTTCTTTAAAACAGGCACTTTCACTATCTTGCATTTTTTCTTCTTCTTCAGCTGAATAATTCTTTCAAGATCCTCCAAGTTTTCAAGTTTTGATCTGGCCTCTAGTTTCTTCTTCTTCAGCTGAAACAAATCAAGGAAGGCAGCAAGTTGAGCTGTGTGACCACCTCTCCCTTTCAGACTGCTAGGACAGTAATATGATACTATTCAGCTGAATYCAGTTAAGACTGGATTAACTTTGAAATAAATTGTCTTTTTTATTTATTTTTTTTTTTTTAATTTGCAGGTAGGGCTAATTGACCATTAGAATAAGTTGCTATCTATGTGAAAAATTGTACCTCATGGTAGTTTTTCATATACCTTTAGGCTTCTTCCTAACTTCTTTTTGAGCCATATGTCATGACATGAATTTAGACCTGGAGTCAGAAGCACTGCAGTCTCTTATGGCACAACAATTAAAAAACTTCATTTGCAGCTTATGAGAGCTGGGAAGCTCCTGCAGTTTTAGCTGACTTCTACCAAGAGATTTTCTGTAATTACTTGTTTATTATGATGCAGCCCCCGATTTATTGGAAATTAATTCTCTTTGCTTAAAAATATATACTTGAGTGAAGAACAAGGTTTAGAATGATCTTAGCTTTTCAGTCAGCAAACATTATATTTTGGTAAACTACAAAGAATGTCCTCAGTGTCCTTGATAGGGCAGATTAGTGAGTGTTTAAGACTTCTCCAAGCCTGCTTATAAAAAGTATCTGCATATGAAGTCAGTGTGGGGCACTGCTGTCACCAAGGGCAAATGTGTTGCCTGAACTGAGATCCCATGAGGTGTCCTTGACTTCAGAAGGGAGATTCACAAACAAAGGGTAACTCAGGGTGAATACAGAAACAGATTCTGTCCCATGGTGTGAATAAGGGTAAATTCACTGGTAACACCTTGTCATATGGTATGCAGTTTTGTCAACTCTGTTCTTATTTAGGTTATTTCCACCTCTTCTTTTTATTGTTCTCTGCATTTGTTGTTTGATCTGCAGATCATTGGCCTAATGGAAAATAATTATGCTGACTGCAGATCATCTGGAAACCCACAAAATTCTTAGGAACCTGCTTTGAAGGAACTCAGAAAAACCTCTGAAGCAAGTAATGATGTGTCTGTTGAAATTAAAGCAGTAGTTTTTGTTCTAATGTTTCTGAGACTGACTTTCTCACTCTTCAATTTTTAGAACAAAGTCTTATTCCCCTGACAGTAAAACTTTATCATTTCCAAACCACTTTAAATTTCTAGGCCAGTTGATTGCTTATTCACAAAAAAATTTAAGATATTAMAGATACTGTTTTGGGAGGAAAAAGCATCAATTCTTAGGGATTGAGGGAAAATTTTTGTGCTCCAGGAATAGAAAATGCTGCTTTTCTGTAGACTAGTATGAGTTACATTTRTAACTGTTTTCCCCAAATGTTCTAATAAGCGTAATACTGTGTTTTGATAAAAAACATTTCCATGGTATATCAGGCTTCAGAAATGCACTCTTACATCTTTTGTGGGTTAGCTCTTTATGGTAGCAGTGATTAGGTGTGCAAGCTGAAGGTGTCTCCCTGGCTCTGATTGCACCCCTCTCACTGACAGCCAGCAGCAGGTGACTCCTGGGCAGCAGGAGCCCTCACAGGTTCAGTCAGGCAGTATAGGGGATGTTTYAGGTTCTGCCTCAAAATGCTGCTGCCTGTACCCACAGGCTACAGAGGTGAACAGATCTCCGTGGTCTTCAGTGGACTTTAGACCAACCTCCTTTCATGGTGGTCTCCCAAGGGTTTTTCTAGCTCACCATGCATGTACTTCTAACTCAGAAAGAGGCAAAGTGTCAAGGACTGCAGCACACACAATACTAAGAATCCAAGCAGAAAATCCAAGAGCCTACCTCTGCTTCTAGTTTTTTCTCCTTCTCATAAGCCAGATCACCTCGGGTCAATGAGTGCACCGGGATCGTCTTTAGGTCCTCCTGCTTCTCTAACCTTACAGCAGCTTCATACTCTCCATTCTTGAAGTCCTCAGGGAGGAAGCTGCCCATCTCTTTATCATCCACCTTCTTCCCAGTAACCTGGAAATGCAAACATGGGTTACCTAGGACTGATTRCACCTCATTCCTGCCCTCTCTTGGAGTGTATGACAGCCAGGACAGGCCATTCTGCTTGTGCCTAACAGCTAAATCAGGTTGCTGAGTAATTTCAAGGCTGGTTTTATCCATTGCTGTCAGTACCAAAGTCTCATTTATAGCAGAATGGCAGAGGCTATGTGGTGTGGTGCAGCAGCACAGCTTTCAACAGTTTTCAGAAATATTTCTGATGCCCAATTAAGTGTTTCCAAAGAGATAACTTGTTAAACTTAACATGTTGTGTATTTTGAAAGTAGTTCAGTATCTTCATGTGGTCTAGACTGTCTTTCTGATTACCTTGTAAAATTGTATTCATTGTAGGGTCTAATACAGAAGAAACTGTCAGGGCCTTGCCAAAGAATTTAAGAAAGCATTAAGTAGTTAGGCAGTTGTATCTTAACGTAGCCATGTGGGAAAATAAAAGCAGTGTTTTACTGATTCATTCCTGTTTTCCCAGTTTCTCAATCAGATCAGACATTCTTATGCAGAATCCTGCAGAGGAATGTCCCATTACTCGTGGTCTAGACATTATTTTTCAAAGACTCTTAAACATCATGAATAGCAGTGGCTGTGGGAACTGTTTTTTAGTATTAGAAAACAATACTATTATTAAGCTTTTCATTTAATATTATAAAATACTTCCATTTCCCTGCATTAATATGTTGTCCCAGTCCCTTATTAGATTGAAATTACTCAGTGTGGTAATAAGATTACTGGCTTCTAAAAAACATAAATTAAAATCAAGCACAAAGTCAAATAAATAGCTACACATTGGCTGGTCTTTTCCTAGTGAACTGTGCTGTGATGCCAAATCCAACCAACTGTGTAGTTGTATCTATGGTGAGACCCTTTCCCAAGGAAAAGTTAAAATGAAAATGTAATAGGGTAACAAACAGGGTATAAGGTCTTGCACCTAGAGCACAGCAGCGCTGGTAACCTGCTAAATTCATGATCCACAAAAGTCATCTTTCTCTGCCTGGTCTAATGACAATCTAGAAAGAAAAGTAATTGTGAGTAAATGAGAGAAGGTTGCACCTACCAGCTCTTCTACTTTCATCATCATGGTCATGTTTGCTGGCGTTGGAGGGCTGTGCTCCTGTATGGCTGAAAGCTCCCAGGGCTCAGGCCAGCTCTGCRGGGACCTCCACGCTCACTGCATTTATATATCTTTGGGAGAACGGTGCTTGAATGAGATAATCTTCCAACCTGGGAATCCAAGTATGCCTCTTGCGCCTGCCAGCTGAGAGGTGCTTCACGCTCATTCCAGACACGTTAACGAGCCAGATCTGGTGTCCAGGCAGGGAAGGGGCGTCAGTTGGGCTGGAAGGGTGAGAGCCCCGCAGTCTGACCACACCAGTATGGGAATCGGAATGAAATGTGAGCTCATCATTCCTTTGGCAATGACTGCACTGCTCAGCAATGCGAGTCATTCTGTGCTCCCAGTGCCCACTAGGACAGCTGTCTGTCGATACAGCGTTATAACTTCATCTTCTTCTTTTTTTCTTTTTTTTAAATTGACATTCAGATGACTGTAATACACTGGAAAGGGTAAGTGGCTTATGTACAATGCYCATGGCAATAACTTGCTGATAAATAGATTATTACTTCTAAAGTCTCAAAAAGCCATTATTTTCATTGCTATTTATTCTTGGMTGATAAACACTTTTAGGGGAAAGGCTTTTTCTCATCATGATGACAGTCTTCTATATTTGTTGGAAGGAATTCTCTGAAGGGATTACTATACCAGAATGATGTCTCTGGTGCTAAAAGGACCTATGACATGATCACTTACAATTAGTGTAAGATATCAAAACAGTAAGATTTGCATTTTTCTGGACCTTTATCAGTGATCATAAGCCAAATAATAAATTATGCCCTTTCACGCAAAAGAAAAAAAAAAGGCAAGCTTAATACTTTTTTCTCAGRCAGTATTTTCTTTCTGGATATGAGAGAATAGGGGCCCAGAAGTGATTTGTTAATTTTTTAGYGTAAGATGAGATACACACAATATGTGCAGATGATGTGTGTGTTTTGGGAAAAAAGCTATTGARTCCTTTGGGAAAGCTTTTCTTATGCCATGAATCAGAGTTGTCTGGAATCAGGAGAATGATCACCAGCAGAAGGCAGTTTTATAAGAGGAAGATGCACTAATCTGTGCATTCAAAGAGTGTGGATAAATGCCAAGGAACATCAGCTCTGTGAYTGTGCAATGCTTGGAGCTCCTGCCCGGTGAGATATGCAGGTCACCTGGCTGAAATGAATACAGCAGCTCAGGTGCTTCCAGCACCACATGTCYACAAGTGCTTCACCAAATCAAGCCCTGTCTCGGGTGTTGTTTGTATCATTAGCATCATTAGCACGCTGCATTCCTGACATTGACCTTTCAAGGTGTCTCTCCTCTGAACTATCCCCCGGTAATCTGAGTACACCCAAACTTGCCCTCTGGTGCCCATCATACCTATGCCCTCCCTTTCCCTGAAATGAAGCTGGACATCAGGTGGCTCCTTTACYACTCAGAATATATATGACATTAGAGGATGAGTCCCAGAACGAAAATAGAGTATGTGCTAGCAAGACAACCTTTCAGAACATTTTTTTCCAAACTCAAGTACAGCAAMGCTATCATTCCCCCCTAGTGGTATGCTCTGAGTCCCAGTGCCAGGCTTCTTTTCACTGCAGGTTTGTACTCCTATAAAATGTTTCTATGACAAGAGGCAGCTCTGGCTTTTTCTTGTGTTGTAACAGTTTACCATAATCTGTTCGGTTTTGTGACTCTTATTTGGGAGATTGTCTTTAAATCACCAGCCTTAACAGGATGGCTGCAGAGAGTGCTTCTGATGTAGTGGGAACAGAAAATGCAGATGCAGAAAGAGAAATGCAGAGGTTTGATTTTAGAACAAAAACTCTTGAAGGAACTGTGAGCTTCCTCTGGACTTGTTATTTTTTTTAAGTTTACTTTTCTTTTTTTTTTTTTTTTTTTTTTTTTTTTTTTTTTTTTTTTTTTTTTTTTTTTTTTTTTTTTTTTTTTTTTTTTTTTTTTTTTTTTTTTTTTTTTTTGCTTTCCCTTGTTGTTTTTTAACAGCCTGATATTTAAAACTGACTCATCAAAACCTAAAGTGGAAGTTTTAAGTGGATAGATCTTCCTCTTCAAATCATACATAAATCCAGAGCCAGAGTAGCTTTACAGGAAACCTCAATGCTCTGAGGGGAAACAGAAACCAAGTTCTCACAAGTGCTACCAAAACACCACAGCTTATTTATCTTTAAAGCATCCCATCCCYGATGACTAAAGAAATAATAAAGAACAGAATATGCTGTGATTATCCCAAGTTAAAATAGTGGCACCCAGAAACCCACTTGAACCAAAGGCTGGGATCTGAATCAACCTAACGGTAAATGCTTTTAAGCTAAAGGTCATGTAAACAAAGGCAACACTATTGAAATTGCAGAAATGCACTGATTCATATCAGCTAAGACTCTTGGCTTATCACTATTGCTTAATATTGGAGGGGAAATAGTATAATGAGCTTGTAACCTTGTACTGGACTGTAAGCACTCAATCACCTTTCATCAAGTGATTTCTCATTAAGGTGGTAATAGCAGATGGTCAGTGGGTGATGTGTTACAGGAATCTGGAAAACTCTTGCCACTCCACTGACGACAAGGGCAGAGCCATCATCTGCAAGGTGTAAGGCAACTGGATATTGTCACCAAAATCCTACACGAACCAAACACAAAAGGGCAGCAGGCTCAGCAAGACAGGGAKAAAACTGTGGCACACCCTGTTCCCTGCTACCAAAAAGGAACTGTCTGACTAAAGAACRTTTGTAATTACTTTTTTTAAGTGGTTAATGGTAGAGTGAAAGTATCATGTGTTATACAAATGATATCGTCACCTCCTGTCAAGTGTGCCACCATCGTGTTTTCAATGGTGTCACTGCTCTACTCATCTATCTTACATTTTCCAGCACTCTGCCCTTGGTCTGTCCATGCATCCACAAATGCTGCCCTTGAATGCCACTGTGCCTGGCTGGCTGTTGTCCTTTTCCTACTGCTGGGTAAGTAAAAGTATGAAAAAATCAGTTGCTGGAGAGTGGTTGTACACCTAAAAGGTCATTGAGCCAGCAAACTGTTCCACATGTGTGCAGCCAAACATGAATTCATAACCAAGGTACACAGAAGAAGTAGCAATCCATAGGTTACTCCTCCTGRATTGGTGATGTATTGGTGTATAATGGCTTGTTTAATTTGCAGTTTGTGTGGGCACCCCGCGTGCCTTGCCTATATCCCCGTGCTGCAGAGCAGTATGTAATTGCAAAATGCAAGAAATAMATTTATTTCCTCCTCTTTCTTTTTAGCTATTGGTTTTCTGTAAAAGGCAGGAAACACTTGTATTTGTCTAACATATACTCTTGGGTACTTTTGTCAAAAAGTTATATGAAAATTATACCAATCATGTTCTAACWTTTTCAACATAGTGATATATATATGTCTACCTGCTTTTTATGAAGTCATCAGGGAATTGCTACATCATCTCTTTAGAGACTACTTTTATCAATGTTTATTTTTGTGTCTATAACTGCTAAAGGGAAGTACATTGTCTCCTTAGAGGAAAAAAATCCCCCAAAACTTTTTCACCTAGGAATATTAAGCTAGTCAAGCAAGCAAGTCAAAATTAGAATGTAAGAAATTATTGAATTAAAAGATGAGGTTACAACTCAATTTCTTCAGATTGTTATTGAAGAAACAAAGAATTCATAATCTCACAGATTGGCGGTCTGGACAACACAGTTCTCTGGTRCCAAAACTCAAACCAGCARTGAGTKAATATTTGCATCACTTAGGATAAGCTTTTAAAAAGCCTCTTCAAACTACATAAGGGTGAGGATTTCACATAACAGAAAAAATTATACAACTGTGATTTCTATTTCAAAACAAGGTATTTCAATGTATCTGAACTTTAYCATAATGGCATTTCTACAGCATGTGAATCTGGATAATTCATCTTAATGGATCTCAGCAAAAATGTCAGAAGGGTTGTTATCTGTGCTCAGATGGGTTTATTTACTGCTTTTCTAGTTAGCARTATAGCTCAGGGTCCTGCTGCTCCAGCACACCTGGCTGATGCTGTTCACATAACCTCTGACTACATTTTTGTGTGGTAGATGTACATTATTTCCTCAGCTACTRTGAAGAGGATTTTCAGTGAAAGTGTGCAGTTGTCTTAAAGGTTTTTGACATTCAGGAATACTCCAGAACAACTCCAAGTCAGGCAGGAAAGGAAAAGTGCTGGAAGTAAAGAACAGTGCCTGCAAATCCAGGCCACCTGAGCCATGATCCAGCATGGGCCACTGGCTCTGCAGCAAAGCACGGACAGTGCTTTTCAATGGCAACAAGGGAGAATTCATCTTTGCCCCAGAGAAGCTCTGGCATTTTTAAACTTTATTTTTATTTAGAATTTCACATTGTCTAACTTAAAGCCTCTAGTTATTGAATCTTGGTATAACTTTGCCTAAAAGCTCATAAGTGTCCCCTCTCATCCCAGTACTGCAATGTTCTTTTCTTCTCTGTAGGTGTAAGGGGCTGCTATAGTTTTGGGTGATAGAAACATCCCTTTCAAATGCTGCAGGACAAAATCCAGGTCCCAGCTCTCCCTCTCCCCTCTTACAGAGCAGCAGCAGCAGCTCAGGAAACACAGGAGAGCTCCATCAGGTAACAGTGCAAGATTTCACAGGCTGTACCTGAGGAAGTGATGGTCACTTGCAACTGGATGCTTCTACTTTAGGAATTCCACTCTTCAAAGATGTCAGATTTTGTGGGGGGCTCTTGACAGCAGTGACAAAATAACACCCAGCCATTGCTTTTTCTTGTAGCCTATACATTAGAGCACATGCTGAAATAGTTATCCAATAGGATTTCCAAAGYAGAATCAACCAAATTACATTCCTCCTAGGAGGAGACTTTGGAAAGTCATCAGTCCTAGTTTCTGCTCAAAACAAGGTCAAAATTGAATTCAGGAAAGGTTGTTCCAGGCTTCATCCAATAAGATCTTAAAAACCTYCAAGGACAGAGATTTCATARCCTYTCTGGSCATCCTGATCCAATGTCGGAGTATCCTCATAGCAATTTCTTTTCCCATATATGAAGTTGAAACTTCCCCACTTYCAGTTCATGATCACGGTGTCTCATTCTCTTCCCAAAAACCTCTGTAAAGAGCCTGGCTCTGCTTTCTTTGTAACCTCCTTGTATGCAGCTTTTACTGTCCCTGACACCTCATCTTCTCCAGGCTGAGCAAGTCCAGCTCTCCCAGCCATTTCTTAGTGAGTGCTCCRGCCCCCAAC